AGCAACCCCTAGATTTCAAAGGGGAACCATGATCTTTCCAAAGCTGAAATCTGGCCATTTCACGTTTCTGCGCAAAGTTCTTCAGAGGCTGAAATCTCAAGTCCTTCGCACGGCGTGACGTAGCCCTAGCCTGTCACCTGAGTGCCACCCCCCACTTTCCTTCCACGTTCCCTTCTCGCAGCTCTATGACCTTCATGTGCTTTCTGGAACATGCGAACGTCTCTGAAGTCTTTTGCCTTCGCACATCTTTTCGTGTCCCTGAAACGCACCCAACGTTCTTGTGGCCAATTCACGCTCATCCCTCAAGTTTCATCTCAACAGCCTCTACCCGTGAGGCCATCCCTGACCGTCCTAGGAGCCATCTGTGCCACTGGAAGAGGTTAGGAGCTTAGAAGTCAGCAGGGATTTTGTGTCCTGGCTCCCTCTCTTGGTAGCTGCGACCTTGGCTAGTTACTCCACCCCTCTGCGCCTGTGCCCTCACAGCGGACACAGATATAAACGGTACCGCAGTGTGCCCCGCCCCCCTTACCTCAATTTCACTTTGCTTGATGTTTGTTACCTGCAGTCAACCGAGGTCCAAAAATATTTAAAAAGTCCAGCAATAAGCAATTTGTAAGTTTTAGATTGTGCACCATCCCAAGTAACGTGTCTCACTGCCCTGCTCTGCCCCACCTGGACTGTCACTCCTCCCTCTGTCCACACTGTAGATGGTCCCCACCCATTCAGTCACTTAGTAGCCATCTCAGTTATCAGATCGACTGTCCAGTATCGTAGTGCTTCTGTCCAAGTAACCCTAATTTTACTAATTCACATAACTTATGACAATAGACTGTTAAAATTGCTCTATTTTTAGTTATAGTTGTTAATATCTTACTGTGCCTCATTTAGAACTTGATCATAGGTATGTAAGTATAAGAAAAAACATAGTATATATAGGGTTTGGTACTATGCGTGGTTTCAAGCATCCACTGGGGGGTCTTGGAAGGTATCCCCAGGGAATAATGGGGTCTGCTGTACTCAGAAGGTTAAAGTAGGATTTAAATCAGTTCAACGCGAAGCGCTCACAGCAGTGACTGGCACTGGTTATGTTTTCAACATCAGTTTTTTATATCTTAATCAAAGCTACTGCCGGATCCACAGTGTTAATTTCTGACATATTTTTTCCTCTAGATTATAAACTATTTGGAGGCAAGGACCATATTTTCCCTCTGGGCATTCACCGCCTAGAATAGTGCCTGGCATTCAAATAATTGTGGCATAAAATTCGGAGGCCTCAAGCTGAAGAAAGGAATGGGGAGTGGTTCCTCTTTCTCCAGGAAGACTTGTAAGAGCCTTCAGGGGGATGTAGGAAGGGGAAGGGAAAGAAACAAGAAATGTCGCCAGGAGGCAGAGACAAGCTGTTTACGCAGTTATGTCCTTGTGCCCGCAAGCTCATCACATCGTAGGCACTCAGTGCATCTATGCTGAGTAAGAGAAAATGGAGGGTATAAAATCAGAAGGAAAAGCCAAGAAATACTTTTTTTTTTTTAAAGATCAAACAAAAATTATAGAACTGGTATCATACGCCATTTATGTATATAAATTGCTTACATTTCAAGAAAGGTTAAGTTTGTAAACCAAGCTATCCAAGGAATCTCTTCTCAATGTGACCCAAATTATTCCATTTAAGAACTGGGAAATATAAGGCATGTTCTTTTACATATCAGTCTTTTATGCCCTTCAGAGTTTAGGAGACATTTCATTGTTGGAATACGAAGGTTTAAAGTATGGGAAATTAATTTATTTCTATATGAAACATTATTATTTAAGAAACTTTACTAAATTCCACATTTCTTACTTTTTACTCATACACCTCACATCAGAGTCACACAAACACAACATATTTGAAACGAGCTCACCAAGTCCTTCCTCTGAAGATATTACCTAAAAAATGATAAAAATCAAGCACTGTCAACTGTTTAAGAAGCAAGGTTAGGAAACATTATGAAAGAAGTTGGTGTTTTGCTTAAGTGTCTCTTTAAAAATGCAAATTTCTAGAAAAATAAGTTTTCAAATCTGTAAAGCTTATTCTCCATTTATTTTTTGTTGTTGCAATTCAGAAATACAAGATATGAAAATTAGGTTACAATTCTGCCACAAAAGCTTCTAAAGTAGCAAACACAAGTTCTCGTATATATCAAAATAGCCATGTGTACTCTTATCAGTTTAAAACTGTTTAGAGTTGTCACATCAAGCAAGTGTAAAATATCTATTATTTCCTCTTCAAAATATCAAATCTGCCATCACCACACTGAACTAAACAAGATTTAGTCCAAAATATGGAAGGTTATGGTTAGTAGGTACTTTGTAAAAGTGAGTGCCTAAGAATTAAAAGAAATAAGAAAGATACAAAGTATCTTAAGTTGAGTAAGCATCCTCATGTAATACAAGTTTAAATTAACATGATGCAATAAAATCAACTGTTGATATAATTCAGTAAAAAAAAATTGTTATGGTATTGTCTTCTTTGAGAAAGACAAAGACACAATTCTTTGAATCAAAACAACTATCACCAAAATGCTTTTGTCATTTAAATATTGGAAACAGTCTTTGAAAGTTTCACTTCCAAGAATTACCATTATATGGTTTAACAGAACCAAATAAAGATTTATAACTAAACACATGTGAGTAGTAATGTAAAGAGACCACCATAAACATTGTTTCTCTTTTCAGCTGTGAAAATTAAATTTTAAAAAATATAGAAAAGAACAATTCTCTTGACTTTGTTTTTGTAAAAAGAAATGAATTGGTTTTTTATATATATACTTTCTTCAATTATGAAATGTCCTTTTACATATTTCGGAATATCTATGGCTGAATAACATTAAACATTTTTAAATAAATTAAACTCACAAATACATTGTAATAAAACAGTACTACCAAACCCACCAGCGGAGGAAGGCAATGCAGAACTGAAACCCACACAATAAGCTGTTGTTGGTCACAAAGGAACAACATTTCGACAGAATTGTAATTTAAACTCCTTCACTGCAGGTAAGACCTACCCACTTTTGGGTACAATAGCAAGATTGAATCAATGTGATCCTTTTTAAAAAATCCAATAGTTTCCCTAACAATATGACTCAGGACTTTTTATTTTCTTCCCCTAAGGAAAAAAAAAGTCAGTATAAACAAAAGTTATACAAGAATTGAGCCAAAAAAGATAAAAAATAGAATTTGCCTTGTAATATTTCCATGTTTTAGATGAAGTCAAATCTTTGTCTGACACTGCTTAAATGTCTACAATACCTTTATCCTAAACCCTCAAGGCCAGATGTGTTTCAATTCACGATTCTCTGGCTTTTGAACAGGTAATATAGGGCATATGCCGGATGTTACAAAACATTTCCACAGAATCTGGGGCAACACCTATAATCAAATTCATTGATAGTACTTCAGGCAAAATTAATGAACAGTTCACAGTGTGGCATAAAAAAAAAAAAACGATGATAATCTCACATCGGTTCAAGTCAGGTTTTGCTATCAAATGAATCATGGCACTAAATTTAGGAAAAAAAAACCTTAATTTTCACAGCTTTTTGGATTAAGGACCTTGGACCTTTGACGTCTCTGACAAGGCCATTCCCTGACTTTGTGATCTCCACAGATCTGCCCTTGTGCCTGAGCTTCAGTTGGGTTGGGGACACTATCTCCCATCACAGAACAGAGCCTCAAATTTGTTCAGGCAATAGATTACCTAGGGTGACAGTACTGTCTATGAGGACACTCTAAGAAATGAATGTTGAAACTAACTATTGTTAAATAGTTCATTTTATTAAATGAGACACCATCTTGGACTAGATTTCCATTTGGACCAGCAATAGAAGGTGCCGCCATTCAAAGAACATTTATAAGAAGATTACATACATATATATCTCTCTCTCCAGATCCGAATGTAACCATTTTCTGAGAATTAGGAAAAGACAGCCCTCACTTCACTTTAGAGGCTGCACAATATGACGGCGCAGAGTTCACAGACGATGGCCATCAGAGGCTGCAAGACTCAGGAGTCCGGCAGGGCACCTGCCCACCCCCATCGACTGCACTGGCCAACTCGAGCAACATGTATATTAAATAATAATTTCTTGTCTTTGACAGTATTTAAATTTGCCTTTCTCAGATCTTGATTAAAAATGAGACCCCATGGATTAAAGCCATTAAATATCTTACTTTACAAAAATTAAGTCCTTTTAAGAGTCAAGAGGTTCAGAAACTCGAGAGCCAAAATAGGTTTGCAATTAATTTTCGGGTCTTTAATATTTTGTAGTTCGTTGTTGTTTTTTTAAACACTAAAAGAAGTCCTTCGAAAGCAGTAGTCTTTTCTCACCAGAGTGAACTGGAATGTGCTATGATACACGCATACGAGTGTGCACGAAGGAGGGAATACAGCGTTACGAGGAAGGTGACTGTCCTTGGATCAGGGGAGCACACGCAGGGACAGGCTGGAGCGGGTCCTGTCGGCTAACACTCACCATCGGCCCTTACTGTGGAAATCCACTCAGCGAACAACGGAGCCTTAACAAGCAATGGCATTCCCAGGGCAGAGAGGATTGTCAGAGCTCTACTCTGGTGACAGGGCTTCCTTAACGTGTGGCTCAGACGGGACACTCTCGGGTCAGCGGGAGCCACAGAAAGAACAGAGTGATCATTTTACTTCCGAAAAACAAGTATCTTCAAAATCGGCCCTGTCGACCTACCTTTTTCTAATGAGTAAAATTTAAATACGCTCTCGCCAGCCTTTCTTAAAAGCCACTCGTAACCTATGAGGAGAAGAATGTCACACGATTTTTTTTTCTTTTCATTCATTCCTGAATTAACTGAAAAAGTCAAATCGATCAGTTTTCACGAAAACCTTACAAAAACTATGACAGCGGTATATGCAAAACCGGAAAGGAGAATGAGAATCAACTGTCACCAAACGGAACTTCGTCTCGTCGTGGCCAGTGAAGACACGGTAAACATTAAAGCTTCTACGATTTTATTTCTCTCCAGAAAACATTGTCGGCAGCTGCCTGTCCCCGTGAGCGAAAGGTGACGGAGCCCTAAGTATTCACACCTAAAGAAGACGGGAAAGCGCTATTTTTCTCAGTGGAAAATGTCTCCTCTCCCTTCACCTCGCTGCCTTCTCCCGCCACCCTCGTCGTCTTATGGGATCAAAGGGCAAGAGAAGCCACCGGCGTCCACCAGCAGCACGGGGAGTCGGGGACGTTATGATGCGTCCCGACTCGCCGGCGATGCGTAAAAACTCATCTTGACTAAAAAACACACCGCGTTCAAAAGAAAAAAAGGGGGGTGGGGTGGTGGCAGGAACCCATAAACCGTCTTTCATGGAAGGTTTTAAAAGTCCTCACGACTTCTTAGGTGTCATAAAGTACACGTCTGGACGGGGTCTCATGGGGAAACAAAAGGATAACTAGAAAAAAACTGTAAATGAGGACTCGGGAAGCCCGTCGCCCGCCCTGCTCGCCCACGGTCAGGTCTCACGCCGTCATCGTCTCTCTGTGTCAGAGACTCAGACGGTCTCCTCGTCCACGTTTGCATAGTGTTAACAACATCGTCCGGCCTTGGACTTCTACCCCGCCACTGCTGCCCGCTTGCCGGAGAGCGCTGGTCCAACCTCCCATGTTCAAAAGCGATACCTAAGTGTCTGTAGGCCAAAATGCTGGGTCCCATTTAGCAGCGAGCTGCTCGCATTATTCAGAAGCACTCTTTTCCCGAGGGGTCAGGTTTAGGCAGTTTTGTCTGTGATTTCGTATTTTGCTCTTTCTGTCATGCAGCGACGGATTATGGTGTCGAAACTTCCGAGGTAAAGCAGAGAGAGCACGCGGAAGAGACCCATGGTGGCCACCTGCAAAACAAAGACAGCCCTGTGAGCTTGCCCAGCAGCACGACACGTCAAGGGACATTGGGGTCCGTCTCTCATAAACAGTTTCAGAGCCACATCTTCTAATCGGCTCCAAGGATGAGTATAATGCAAACTGTGTTAGGGTCAATGACATGCTGAGAACAGAGGCTGTCCGCTCCGCACCCCTGGATACCCAGGGCCTGCCAGACAGATAACAATAAAATATTTGTCCAATTAAGGAATTCGAATTAGACGAAGAACTAAATAGGCATTCCCAGCAGTGCTGGGGTTCTAATTGCTGGGGAAAATCCACTCCAGCATCTTGAACATCTGAACTACAACTAAGCCTTCTTGGTTGAAGATTTACGTTCTGATTACGAAAGCCAGACCCTATGCTGGGTGCTAAGGACAGTGCAGTGACACAGACACGGTCCTGCCCTCCAGGAGCTTATTCCGTAACTGGAAAGACATCAGCTGGAGAAAGAATTACCATTTCAGCGTTAAGCCAGCAAATAACCAGATCCATCAACTTGCCCCTTTTCCGCTAAAAGACACTTGCTGCCAGCACCTCTAAACGGAATTCTTGAAAGGCATAAAACTACAAAGGAAAACATTTTCAAATATGCAAGGTCTCAAAAAATCTGCCTCGCGCACCCTTTTTTCAGAAAGCTACTAGAAGAGGTAAACAGCCAAAGTGAGAGGGTCGACAAGGAAAAGCAACATTAAACGACGCAGCAGGCAGGGGACCCAGTACGAGAGAGAGGCAGAGGGGGTCCCCAGGATGACGATGGAGGGGAAGCCAGGGTCCAGCTATGCATGGACACGGGGGCGGCCAGTCCTGACGGGCAGGTCGGAGAAGGATGAACGGAGGACAGGGCATGAGGGACCACCATAACAAGCCCTGAAACCTCTCTGATTCTCTACAGTGTGAGCGAGGATCACTCTGAAAAATGAACAAACCAAAAGGAAGCTGGGAAAAGGCAAACCTACGGGGACGATAAGATCGGCAGGCGCCAGGTGCAGAAGGAGAGAAGCGGGTGGGGCACAGGTGGACCGCAGGGCTGGGACACCGTCCTGCACGATGCCGTAACGGGGGGCACGTGTCACTCTACGCAGGATGTGCGTGTCATCCCATAGATGGACGTAGGACCTCGAGAGTAAGGCCTCGTGCGAACCCTGGGCTTCCGTTAACGATCGTGTGTCGGTCCAGGCTGGCTCATCGACTGTGACCATGGACTTAGCATCACAGAGGTTAATCATAAAGGGGACGGTGGGCGGGTGTGTGGGAACTCAGTAGTTGCCACTCAGATTTTCCATAAACCTGAACCTGTTCTAAAAGATAAAGTCTATGACTAAAAAAAAAAAAAAAGTAAAGGAAAAGAAAAACCCTCAAGAAAAAGTAATGATAACATAGCACAATACAGAACTAAAATAGGGGTAAGTCCGAGGCGTTTAACCCAGTCTTGGCATTTTCTGGAAAAAGCAACGTTGAAGGTGAGACCTGAAGGAAGACTGGAGGTTGGTCAGACGAAGCAAAGCTGGGGACGGAGGGACATAGTCAAAGCTGCAGAAAGAAGAGGAGCAGGGGAAAAGAGGAAGGTGAGTGGGGTCGGAGGTCACAGGTCGGAGGTTAATGTGCCCTGCGAGGGAGGGAGGGAGTGAATGAAAAGGCCTGACCCGGACGGTCTGGGGAGCCACTGAAGGTTGCCGCGCCAGGTGGATCTGAAGTTTGGAACAAGCCCCCCGGGAAATGTGATGGCACATTCGAAGCACCCAGGGCCTGGGGCAGGGTGCCAGAGGACCACAGAGACGGGGGGACTGTGTCCTACATTATGGGACCAGCTGCCGCCCATCCCAGCCGATTCCTGCCCAGCGAGAAAGCAGACCTGCAGACCCTGTGCTGCTAGGCCTTCTGATTTTCCTGGAAAGTCCGAAATCTGAACTTTTTATGTAAAATCTAATTTTAAAACTTTATTTAATTTCGACATGCACACTCATACCCGATGGACCAATCGCTCTACGGGTCCGTGGGCTGCCACTTTACAGCCTCTGGCTGGCAGAGAACGGGGCTCAGGCGAGGAGCCGAGGGCGTGGCCAGGCCTGAACAGGGGGGTGGGGGGACCAGGAGGAAGTGAGTGGACCCAGGATGAGAGAGACGGATCTGATCTCTGATGGGAGGGGCAGAAGGAGAGGAGTCAGTGGTGACACCCCGGTTTCTGGTGGGCTCCTGAGTGAATGTGAACACCAGCTACAGAAAGAGAATACAGAATCGGTGACGGGGGTGTGGGGTGGGCAGGATGCTGGAGAAATACGAAGTTTTATTTGAGACACGTCGAGCTGGAGATGTAACAGCACAGCCTGAGTTAAAAAAGAAATGCACGCGGACCCGGAGTTCACAAAACTGTGAGGGGCTGAAGTTGTAGACTTGACATCACTCACATAGGAGGAGGAGAATGGACAAGATGGACCACAGACAACGTGCGGATTTCACGCGCACACTGCACTCGGGCACTCTCCCGTCCCGCTCCGCGCCAGGCACGGACCTGTCCTCGGACAGCTTACATCACAGTGCCCCGTCCGGGAGAGACGCGCGGAACTGTGGGTCTACCACAGAGTGAGAACAGCTAAGCCGTTCCGACGCTTAGTCTGGCCGCGGTTTACTGCTCCTAACTTAGCGCTGCGATGATCTGCCCGCCAGTGTGGACCGCCCCGTCTGGGCGGCCTTCCCACCCTCCGTCCACCTCCGTCATCCACGCTTTGTCTTTCCAGAGCGATCCCTCTGTTCGAATTATTACTTTATACTGTTAGTGTCACTGGGTGCATCAGTGTCCCCACCCCCTGGACCATAAGCCCCCGGAGTTGCCTTCCGTCTGACTCTCCAGTAGCAAACACACCACCGAGCACATCCAGGAGCAGTTAACTGTCTGTGTCCTAGACGAACTAGAATTTCCTTTCGGGTGGGGATGCCACTGAATCCTCGACTTGCATCTCCCCAGGCTTAGTTATCTGTGGCCTACGTCCCCCCAGAAAAGGTGTTCTAGTCTATAATATCCCAGTCCTGCCAGGCGAGGCCACCCCGAATCCACTCTAGACAGTGGAGAATCCCATTTTTCAAACCCGTCGGATCAGACGAGAACCCAGACTAACACCCCAACAGCAGAGAGGGCGTTTTCTCTCTGTGCCTACCGGGCCTAGACCCGAAGACTTCTCCCCAGTCTAAATTCCTCAAGTTAAATCTTCAACCCATTTCCCATGTACTCATCCCTGGTTAAAGGAAGGGGAAAAGTAGATATTTTAATAAAACGTTTTCACATGCTCAGATTTAGCTACCAGGTCTTCCTTGAGCCTTTTCTCATGGAAGGTGAACAAGAGCTGCTGTCTGTCTGTCTGTCTGTCTGTGTGTCCAGCTGCCCGACGGCCCCGGCACAGCTTACCTGCTGGAGTCCTTCGGTGATAGAAGTGACCGGAGCCATGCCGCAGGTCAGGGACGAGAGCATGTACCCGTCGGAGCCGATGGAACTGTTAAAATTTCCTTGCTAAAGGGAAGGAAGAGAAAAGAAAGAGGCTGCAGCAGCAACGCGGACGGGAACCCACTCGACACAGAAAGAAGGAGGCGCCGCCCCTCCCTGCGTG